ATTTATTTATTTATTTTTGACAGGCAGAGTGGACAGTGAGAGAGACAGAGAAAAAGGTCTTCCTTTGCCGTTGGTTCACCCTCCAATGGCCGCCGCGGCCGGCGCGCTGCAGCTGGCGCACCGCGCTGATCCGATGGCAGGAGCCAGGAGCCAGGTGCTTTTCCTGGTCTCCCATGGGGTGCAGGGCCCAAGCACCTGGGCCATCCTCCACTGCACTCCCTGGCCACAGCAGAGAGCTGGCCTGGAAGAGGGGCGACCGGGACAGAATCCGGCGCCCCAACCGGGACTAGAACCCGGTGTGCCGGCGCCGCAAGGTGGAGGATTAGCCTAGTGAGCCGCGGCGCCGGCCAAAAATGTACTTTTTTTTAAAAAAAATCAATTATGTGCAAAAGTGTTTTGTAATTTTTAAGTCTCAAGGCAAATAGCCCTAACCCTCACCCACAGCCCACCCTGCTGTGATGGTATTTCTGGTAACCCACCCATTTTTCCCTTATAGGAAGTTAATAGCTCAGAATAGACGCTCCTACAGACGCAGCATCACTAACACACTGTTTAGGATGGAGACCGAGCAGGAGCTAACAAGCAGGTTCTTTCTCAGTGAGGGTACTGAAAACTCCTACAACACAGCAAAGCACCATCAACTGCTGAAAGCTACAAAATAATTTTATTTTCAGCAGTATTTCTTTTCTTTTTTTCTGACAGAGTGGACAGTGAGAGAGCGAGACAGAGAGGAAGGTCTTTCTTTGCCGCTGGTTCAGCTTTCAATGGCTGCCGCGGCTGCACAGCGGCCGGCGCACCGCGCTGATCCGAAGGCAGGAGCCAGGTGCTTCTCCTGGTCTCCCATGGGGTGCAGGGCCCAAGCACCTAGGCCATCCTCCACTACACTCCCGGGCCACAGCAGAGAGCTGGCCTGGAAGAGGGGCAACCAGGACATAATCCGGCGCCCCGACTGGGACTAGAACCTGGTGTGCTGGCACCACAGGTAGAGGATTAGCCTATTGAGCCACGGCGCCGGCTGCAGTATTTCATTTTCTATTGGAAAAGTCTTTAAATTACATTTAGTAAGCCTCCCAACAAAGAAACAGTCTAGCTTTCATGAGGAAACCTTGCAACAGGAGGTAATGGCAGGCAGCCAAGGATTGTGAGCAGTACCGTGCAATGACTGCTATCTTAGAACTCAGTGTAGACCCAAACTTGTAAACGGTACCACACCTGATTTAGCACGGTGCCTTTTTTTTTTTTTTTTTTGGACAGAGTTATAGACAGTGAGAGAGAGAGACAGAGAGAAAGGTCTTCCTTCCATTGGTTCACACCCTCCCCCCCCCAAATGGCTGCTACGGCCGGTGCTGCATTGATCCGAAGCCAGGAGCCAGGCGCTTCCTCCTGGTCTCCCATGCGGGTACAGGGGCCCAAGCACTTGGGCCATCCTCCACTGCACTCCTGGGCCACAGCAGAGAGCTGGACTGGAAGAGGAGCAACAGGGACAGATTCCAGCGCCCCAACCGGGACTAGAACCCGGGATGCTGGCGCCACAGGCAGAGCATTAGCCTAGTGAGCCACGGCACTGGCCAGCACGTTGCTTTTTAACACTCGAGATGCCCTCTGTATCCATTTTGTTACTTGCTATAGTAAATTTATATCAGAATCATCTAAGTGTGTGATTCCGGAGTTAGACTGCCTTGGACAAACTATTTAATTTCTGAGCTTCAGTCTCCTCATCTGAAAAATGCTAACATCATACATAACAGGTTATCGTGAGAAAAGCATGAAGTGCTCAGAACACTATCTGGCACACAGTGGCCACTCAATGTATTTAGCTACTGTCGTTGTTGTCGTCATCATCATCATCGTTATCATTCACTATCATAAGTCAGAAACTTGGTCTTCATTCATCCTTGTGTCCCTAGGCACTTAGTACTGCGCCTAATACAAGGGGAACAAGCGAGTATTCTACTCTGCATTCACCTCATATCCACACCATTCCAGGAAACCCAGCTTGGTCAGTCAGCTTCCCTAGGTAAGACCTTCTTCTTTCTCTCTCTCTCTCTACTTCTTTCAAATGAATAAATAAACCTTAAAAAAAAAAAAAAAAAAGACCTACCTCATTTTAAACGCAAAGAAACAGTCCAATCAGTATCAGTTCCTATAGCAGCTTAATCCACACCAAAACATACTGCAATCTCTAAATGTAGTTCCATCCAGCCTTAAATGACCTATCCTTTTTCTTCTCCAAAACTACCTCTTCTTCCGCACCTTCTCAGGTACGACTGTCATTCTTAATTTTTTTTTAAAGATTTATTTATTTATTTGAAAGTCAGAGTTACACAGAGAGAACAGAAGGAGAGAGAGGTCTTCCATTCGATGGTTCACTCCTCAATTGGCCACAATGGCCGGAGCTGTGCCGATCTGAAGCCAGGAGCCAGGAGCTTCTTTCGGGTTTCCCACGCAGGTACAGGGGCCCAAGGACTTGGGCCATCTTCTACTGCTTTCCCAGGCCACAGCACAGAGCTGGATTGGAAGTGGAGCAGCCGGGCCTCGAATCAGTGCCCAAATGGGATGCCGGCGCTTTAGGCCAGGGCATTAACCCTTTGTGCCACAGTGCTGGCCCCTGTCATTCTTATTTAATACCAAAGAACCAGACACCCAAAGAGGTTGCACTATTCTGCTAGTGAGGGCACAGCCAGATTTCTCCAGCTCTGCCATCCGGCTGCTTTCTCAATCTTAGTATTACAAATGATATTAAAAGGCACATGACAAACCAGGGGAAAGTATTTCAAAACCAGTATTAAACAAGGTCCAGTATACTTTGTATATAAAGAGCTATTATAAACAATAAGGAAAATCAAACACTGTAATATAAGGTGAGTACAGGAAAGGCACAAGCAATTCAGAAAAGAAAATATATTGATGCCTAATAAGCAGACAAAAAGTGTTCAGTCTTTCTTGGTCATTAAACACATGCAAATTATATGATAAGAAGCTGTTTTTAGGCCAGTGTCAGGGCAAAATAGTTCAGTGCCACAGCCTGTGATGCCGGCATCCCATATGGGTGTTAGTTTAAGTCCCAGCTGCTCCACTTCTGATTCAGCTCCCTGCTAATGCACCTGGAAAAGCAACAGAAGCTGGCCCAAGTGCTTGAGCCCTGCACTCACATGGGAGGCCCAGATGAAGTTTCAGGCTCCTGGTTTTAGCCTGGCCTAGCCCTGGCCATCGCGGCCATTTAGGTAGTAAACCAGTAGATGGGAGATCTCTCTCTCTCTCTCTCTCTCTCTCTCTCTCTCTCTCTCTCTCTTTCTCCTCTCCTCTGTAACTCTGCCTTTCAAAAAAAAAACTTTAAAAAATTATGTAAAACATTCAAGATAATAACTAGCATATGTTTGTAAGAAACAATGGCTATAAATTTACAAAAAGGAATATCATATGGCCAATTATACAAGTACTGCTGATAATAATATGGTAAAACACAAACAGGTTATGATACAGCAGAAAGACCCAATTTTTGTTTTGTTATAATATATGTGATTATAGAAACACTTATGTGCTGTGGCGCAGTGGGTTAACGCCCTGGCATCCCATACTGGCACTGGTCTTGTCCTGGTTGCTCCTCTTCCAGTCCAGCTCTCTGCTGTGGCCCAGGAGGGCAGTGGAGGACGGCCCAAGTGCTTGGGCCCCTGTACCCGCATGGGAGACCAGGAGGAAGCACCTGGCTCCTGGCTTCGGATTGGCATAGCTCCGGCCATAGCGGCCATTTTGGGGGGGGGTGAACCAAAGGAAGGAAGATCTTTCTCTCTGTCTGTCTCTCACTGTCTATAACTCTACCTGTCAAATAAAAAAAATAGCAAAGAAACCGTGTGACTTTTGCCGAGTGCTGTCAGTCAGTGTGACACGGCTCTTGCTTTTAAAAACCTTATGTTCTGTCTAGTTCCAGTTTCCTGCCAAGTACCAAAAAAACTGAGAGGGACTCAGAACTAAGAAGCTATGGAGAGCCACCAAATGATAAGAGGAGAATCTGTTCAGTTCTCGGCTATATCCTGCTATCCATTTGGGCTATGCCTTCAAAGTGATCCTTTCCTTTTGAGGTCTAATTTAACTAAACTCCTCTCAGGACCCTTCATCTTGCTTAAAATCAGAGGGTGTTCTGCGCTGAGGGTGAGAAGAAGCCTAACCGGTAGGCATTTTTGTTTGGACAAAGTAAAATGGGGACTAAAGAGCCAGTCATGGGTGGAATTTCCTTACCACTAGTTAAGCAAAAAGAACAGCAGGCTACACAAGATTATATTCTGGGGTTCCTTATAGCTCTGCAACTCTGCAGACTAATAGAACCTAGGACCTCATGAGCAGGTATTATTTGGAAACCTGAACAATGTTTCACCCTGTTCCATTTATGCAAAGTGGGCTAACCCCACTACATCAAGTTCAAACTGAGATGCTTACAAGGGGGAACTATGGCTTCAGCCAGTTCCCTGGAAGCTGGACAATCCCAGGGATGCAGGACTCAAGTCCCTGCTATGGAACATTTGCCCCTGGACACAAAAAGCGGTTACAACCTCATTGAACCTCCCTTAAAGGATGTTTTCCTGCAAAGCAGAGAACCTTGGTGAATCAAAGCTAATCTAACTTGCAGTCTACCCAGAGGGTCCTCTATTTACAGCAGCCAGGACCCTCCATCTTTCTAAGGGCCACAACCCTTTCCTTAGAAACAGTAACAGACACACACATACTAAAAACCGGGTTCTCACTATTTCAGGACTTCCTGAGCTTCAAGCAAGGAACCCACTGTCTTAAAGGAACTTAGGGCACTCACAAATAATTCTTTATTAATAAAATTATGAAAGTCAAAATTCTAGTTTTGTAAATCTGTATCTTTATATACCAGGTTTATTTAAAGTGGAGTTTTATATATATGGCAAATTTGTGGCTTGGATTTGTTTTAAAGAACAGAACCACAGATGATCGCCAGGAGGTACTGGGGGGCTGGACCTTTCCCAGGAAGCTCTTACCAGTGTGGGTCTTCATGTGCTCGTCGAAGTACTGCTTCATGTTGAAGTCCTTGCCACACCACTGGCACATGAACTGCTTGTGCCCAATGTGGATGCTCATGTGTGAGCGCAGCTGGTACTTGTACTGGAACCTCTCGTCACAGTTCTGTGTGGGACACATGGCAGATTCTTGAATGCCAAGCACAGGAGCTCTACCTGAGCCCACCCTAACACGACTGACCTGGGTTGGTTTTTCATATTCGGAACAGTACATGCTGTGTCAGCTGTTTGCATCTGCTCTATTTCTGAAGCTGAGTTACTAACAAAGGGGAAATGTTCTCACACAGCCATCACTTCTCTGAACCACTGAGAAAGCTACGTCAGTAATGTGCTATTCCCAGGTTAACCTAAGAGAGTTAGCGGGGTTTCAAACAGTCACTGCTCCCCTAGCAGGGAGAGAGCGTGACCTGCGGGCCCTGTGGAAGACAGCCCTGCTCCCTGTGCTCCACCACAGCCCTCACTGCCCCATCGGCAGCCTCGGGCCTGGGCCCCTTGGTCACATGCTCCTTACCTCACATCTGAATGGCTTCTCTCCAGAATGCTGCAAGGAGTGCACCTTGAGTGACATACTACGCTTGAATGATTTTCCACAGGTTTCACATGTGAACGGCATGTCTTTCGTGTGTGCTGCAACACAGAAGGTACCTGTACTCAAAACAGTTCCACCACAAAGCTCAAACTAGGAGACAGAAGTCCCAGCAGAAGGCAATTAGGCCACGTGGATTTCTAGTCTCTGACTTGTGAGACTTTAACGGTCTTGTTCCGAGGAGACAGACAGGTAACAGAGGAAAAGCAGCCTGGTGTCACTCGATTTTGCAGCGTTCACTGAAGACATGCTAGACTTAGCTTCAACATGCCAGAACTGATTCTAGTGAGGAGGCAGTTTCTCATATTCTGGCTGACCCAGAGCTTACAGCACACCAGACAACAAGGGGAAATGACAGGTATGAGTGAAAACCAGCAGCCAACTTACCAACCATGTGCTTCCGCACGTGAGCCATGGTATAAAATTTCTTCTCACAAATTTCACAGGAAAACTTCTTCTCTGCATATCCATGGACGATCTTGATATGTTCATGAAGGGACCAGAGTTTCTTGAAGGATTTGTTACAGGACACACACTGAGCAGGACAAACAGAGAGAATCTTTATTCACTGGGCTTGTAGAAAGCCATGCCGGCCTCCCAGCACGTGGAAGGGCTGTACTTGAAGTTCACGGCACGAGGCCAGGACCCAATCACTACTTCTGCATGGAGTCCAGATCCCAACACCACCATTAGTGTGTGTTCTAGTTTCCAAGCTGCATCTTTTAGAGACCCTTGGGGAATGTGGAAACAATGGCAAAAGCTAAAACAAGAAAAAGTAGGAAGTTCCACTCCTATCAAATAGTTGACTGTTATGGTCAAGTTAGCACTGTACCTCTGAAAAGAATCTTCCAGTTTGTTTAAAACACACGGATTACCAAGTGCAGCTGCCTTCCACACAGAGGTAAGAGGTGTTTACCACAGAATACAAACTAATTTAAAATCAGCATAAATGAAAAACAGGATAAAACAATAGATGTATATATACATGGTTACACACAGAAATATAAAAATACTTTAAGAACTTAGAAAATGCATTTGGAGACTTCACTGCACAAAGAGAGATTTTGTTATATGTCCCCCAATCTGATTTGCTCTGTTAAACATTTCCCTTTGTCAGATCTGAACATAAGCTCCAAACTGTTAGCACTGTCCTCCCTTCCCCCACAGCCAGGTGTCTTTCACACGTGTCTACAGGAAACACCTGCCAGCTGCCCAGTCCTCCTGTCAGGAATCACCAATACCCTGGATTATCAGGCATACATTATACCAAAATAAACTATCTCTGGTTAAAGCAAAAACAAAGCCAGAAAGTTCTAGGTAATCATCAGACTCTGGGACACTTGCAGGAACAAGTTAGCGTTCACTGTGGATATAGATCTCTGTGTGACTTCAGGGAACAAGAAGTCTGAGGAGAGTTAAAGATAAACTCCTTGGTGGACATCGCTCTAGAAGACAACAGATTCTTCCTATGAGCTATGTTGTAGGGAAGGGTTTGGATTTGTACTTGTTACCAGGTCACTGGGATTATTAGGATCTGCTGTAAGAACAAAGGACAAGGTTCTTTAGGAATATAAAGCCGAATCTACAAAAACTAAAACGTATTATGATGAGGAATAGTGAGGAACGTCACATACAAAGATCTGTTAGATGTTTTCTGTAACTTAGAAAAGCAAATTTAAGTTTAAAAAAGAAAAGAAAACCCTACATAGAAGGACTGAGAACACCTTTTCAGTGATGGGTAACTATGGACTCCAGGTTTGACCCCTAGGGCGCAGCACCGTATCACGCTCCCTCCGCCTGAACTGTTGCAAACAACCCACACCCTAGCCAGGCACTGGCAGTTACTGGAGGATCCGGGCGCCATGACTCAGTCTTCTTTTATTTACCCAGTGTGTCAGAGATTAGATCACAATTGACAAATCCAAAGTGGCTGAGTTTTTACCAAGTGTTTAAAGCAAAGCGATGATCACCTCAGTCGCTGATAAAACCAGAAGAGAAAATTAAAGGTAACTACCAATGCTAGCAGGACTCAAAAACCAATGAAAGTAAAACAAGTTATCTTTTAAAAGCTTATCTTCAATATGGTACAAAATATTCTGTTTTCATATCTTAAGAGACATTAATAAACTTACCTCTTGTGAACATTGAGTAATATGAATCACATATACAAACCAATGGAGCTGCAATCCACTCAACATAATTCGCACACCTCTGAACCTATCACAATATCGGCCTTTCAAGATACCAGCCCGGTTCCAATATCCTGTTTTGTTACCTTAACAATACTGCACAGCAGCATTACGTAACCCTACTCCCAGGTAGGCACCATTTCCAACCAGCTCAGCCTCTGTTTAAAGTCTGCATATTCCCATGGGCTCAGCCTCTTGACAAATTTAGTGCAGTCATCTCTCCACTGGTGAAAGCAAACTCACTCCTGGAGATCTTCCATTTCCACCGGTCTGTCATTACGGTTTCTGTCCCCGTCCGCTCCACTAGAATCTGGCATCCTTTTAAATATTAGAAAGGGACCTTTCTCTACTGCTGACCTTCACTCAATAGCTCCCACCTTGACAGAGAAGATGCCAGAATGATTTATACTCGTATAACAAGTCCTACAACAGTGAATTTCAGTGCAAAGTCGGTGTTGACTTTACGTCCTCGTCAATCATTTCTAACAGATCCCCCTTCCAGTATACCCAAGTTCCCACTAGTCCAGCATCAGTTAAAGGTTATGCTTTTGAAAGAAACTGTTAGGCCTTGGTTTTGAAAAGACCAAAGCAGGAGCTTCTAAAATGACCAAGTGGTGAAATCTGTCCCTTCAGCCTCTATGGAATATTCTCTTGGGCAGTTACCAGATGAATCTCAACAGCCAGGTTCTATGCTGGAAAGTGTGCCCACTCGGTGATAAAACCTACCTGGATGTTTTTTTCACAGTCTGTTTGCTGGTGAAGGGACAGCTCACTTTCCAGGACAAACTTCTTGCCACACTTATCACAAATCTGCATGCGCCTATGAGTAACGTTCATGTGCTTCTCCAGGTACCAGCGAGTATTAAACACCCTGGGGCACTTCTCACAGGTCAGAGTCTCTTTCTCTTCACACTTAGCTTTCTGGACTGGTGCTTTGGGCTCCTTTGTGGCCCGCTTCTTACGCTTAGGTGGCTCTACACTCTTCCTACGCCCTCTCGTAGCTCTGGGAGTAGGGGCAGCGGTAGCTGCAGCAACAGAGGCAGCTCTCCGGGTTCTCCTTTGTGTGACGCTGACTTTCTCCACTATCTTCTCTTTTTTCTTCTGCCTTTCGTTCTCTCCATAGTCATTGCTGTCGTCTGTGGCCTCTTCCTCACTCTCTTCCTCTTCCTCCTCACTGCTTGTCTTAAGAACAGGAGTCTCTTTGGACTGAGAAGAGACACCCTTTTCCCCTTTAGACACATTTAATGTTTGATTATTAAGGTTTACCTCCACTATGATCTGCTCCCTTTTGTAAGAGACCTCCTCCTCCTCCTCCTCTTCCTCTTCTGTGTCATCAGAATTCTCCCGGTCTTCTTTCACGGCATGCACATCAGACACTGCTCTTGTCTCCCTGAAATACGGCTGTTCCTCTGTTTCGTGGAGATGTGGTTTACTCATCTTGGTGTCCACTAACACAGAATAAGGACTTCCTGATTCCCTTTTGTACACTTTGGTGGAAAGGTCGAGTTCTTGGTTGGCACCATGATAAAAGGTAGATGGCACTTGACCACGACGGCTGTCTTCTTGTGCCATCCCTGCTACATGCACAGCACAGTTTTCAACCAGCTCCTGACAAGAACTGGCTGTGTGGCTCATTGGTAGGTGACCCAACTTATTAAGCAGTTCAGACTATAGAGAAATAGCTTTAAAACAAGGTAATTATTAAGATTCAAATAGTTTTCCATCCACAAAGAATCACTCAAATGAAAAACAGATATTCCTGGAACCTGTGTGCAATTCTTCCAGTGTCGCAGCACCAAAGCGTTAAGTCAAAAGGTTTGGTATTATGGCAAGAGCAGAGTACTAGGGATTTTTCTTCTGAAGAGAACTGCGAGGACTTGGAGCATCTTATCTACAAAGAGAAGCAAAGAGGGGGGATCAGATACCACTAGTTCCTTCTCATAGCACTCATTTCAAATCATAACAAATATCAGTTAAAATGATTCAGCCAAATATACAATGCTTTATAATGCTTAAATGTTTTGGTGTGGGCCACTATGTTACTGGATTATACGAATTCATGAACATTTTCTGTTAGAATGTAAATGCCGCAGCTGGTGTTGTGGCAAAGCAGGTAAAGCTGCTGCCTGTGATGCCAACATCCCATATGGGCGCCAGTTCGTGTCCTGGCTGCTCCACTTCTGATCCAGCTCCCTGCTAATGGCCTGGGAAAAGCGGCAGAGAAAGAAGGGTCCAAGTGCTTGGGTCCTTGACACCCACATGGGAGACTCAGATGGAGCGCTTATCTCCTGGCTTCAGCCTGGCCTAGTCCTGGCCATTGCAGCCGCCATTAGGGAATAAACCAGTGGAGAGAAGATCTCTTTCTTTCTCTGTCTCTCCCTCTAACTCTGGCTTTCCAAAAAAAAAAAAAAAAAAAGGGCAGGGGTGCCAGCGCTGTGGTGCAGCAGGTTAACGCCCTGGCCTGAAGTGCTGGCATCCCATATGGGCGCCAGTTCTAGTCCTGACTGCTCCACTTCCAATCCAGCTCTCTGCTATGGCCTGGGAAAGCAGTAGAAGATGGTCTAAGTCCTTGGACCCCTGCACCCACGTGGGAGACCCTGAAGAAGCTCAGGCCGTTGTGGCCAACTGGGGAGTGAACCATTGGATGGAAGACCTCTCTCTCTCTCTCTCTCTCTCTGACTTTCAAATAAATAAATAAATCTTTTTTTTTAATAAAGAATATAAATTTTTTACCAGTAAGAGCCATATCAGTCCACTTCACCAGGATACCCTCAAAGCTTAGCACAGTGTCTAGAACATAGCAAATATTAATGACTAACTATTTTCCACGGCCTTTTTTCTTTCTTTCTTTCTTTCTTTTTTTTTTTTTTTTTTTTTTTTTTTTGAGAGGCAGAGTGGACAGAGAGAGAGAGAGACAGAGAGAAAGGTCTTCCTTTGCCATTGGTTCACCCTCCAATGGCCGGCGCGGCCGGCGCGCCGTGGCCGGCGCATCACGCTGATCCAATGGCAGGAGCCAGGTACTTATCCTGGTCTCCCATGGGGTGCAGGGCCCAAGCACCTGGGCCATCCTCCACTGCACTCCCTGGCCACAGCAGAGAGCTGGCCTGGAAGAGGGGCAATCGGGACAGAATCCAGCGCCCTGACCGGGACTAGAACCTGGTGTGCCGGCGCCGCAAGGCGGAGGATTAGCCTAGTGAGCCGCGGCGCCCGCTCCCATGGCCTTCTTTTTAAAAAAAATATTTATTTATTTGGAAAGCAGAGTTAGAGAGAGGGAGACACAGAGAGAGATCTGTCTTCTGGTTCACTCTCTAAATGGCCAGGCTGAAGTCAGGAGCCTGGAATTCCATCTGAGTCTCTCACGTGGGTGTAGGGGCCCATGCACTTAGGCCATCCTCCACTGTCTTCCCATGACATTAGCAGGGAGCTGGATGGGAAGCAAAGCAGCTGGGACTCAAACCCGCTCTCTGATACGGTGCCCAACCTACAGCGTCACAACACCCCTCCCACTGACTGCCTTTCTTAAGATTTATTCATTTTCATATAAATGCATGATGAATTTTGTGTCAACAAAATTGTACTTGCCAGTTGAAGGGTTTAAATTGGGATTGAAATGCTAAATTTATATACAACAATGACAAGTGTTCCACCAAATCAAAAGCACACCATGTAAAATAATACATTATCCTTTGAACAAAGAAATTGTTTTTAAAAAGATTCATTTATTTTATTTGAAAGTCAGAATTACAGACAGAGAAGGAGAGACAGAGATCTTCCACCCACTGGTTCACTCCACAGATGGTCACAACGGCCAGGGCTGGACCAGGCTGAAACCAGGAGCCACATTTGGGTCTCTCACTTGGGTGGCAGAGGAGCCCAAGCACCAGGCCACTATCAGAGAGCTGGACTGGAAGCAGAGCATCCGGCACAGGATCTGGCACCCGCATGGGATGCCGCATCACAGGTGGTAGCTTTACCTGCTATGCCACAACACCATCCATGTGCCTCTCTTTCGTCCTCTGTCACTACACCCACCACGTAAGAGCTTGCTGAACAAAGGTGGTAAGTGGGGCAGGCACCAGGCACCATGGAAATAAAGCAGCTAACTGATATAACTACAGAGGTGAAAGAAAATACACCGGCCTTAAATAGTTTCTAATCAAGGTATAGACAGGATTGTTTTAAAGCTTACTAGATTAATTTCAAAGTTGCTGAGTATTTTGAGATCTGTTCTATATATGCTTCCTAGACCACTCAGTAAGGGGGTGACTTCTCATGTGTCAGTTGCACATAAGTCTGGATTCTAAGAATCAGTAACCCAAGGTTCCAGGAAAAGTGAAACCACCCATTAAAATAAAAAGATATATCAGGAGGGCACAATTTGTTTTGTGACAAATCTCACACTGCTGCTAAGCCAACCACCGAACTGCTGAGTCACACGACGACACGGTAAGCATGCAGGCTGACGGGAGAAGGATGCCAGCACTCACTGAACGCCCGCCGCGTGGAAGGCACTATGGACGTGTCTACTGGTCGTTATTTCTACTTAACACCCACCACAAAATGGGCTGATTTTTAAACATTTTTTTTTTTTATCAAAGTAATCATTTTTTTAAAAAGGCATCCATAGTTCTACAAGTTAAGCGTTACCAGTCCTGCCCTGGCCCATCTGAGGCCTATTCCTCGAGGCAATAATGCTGCGGCTCTCTCCCCTCTGGCCTTTACTTCCCTCTCTCTACATAACACGTTGCTATTTCTTAACCCTTTTTTCTTCCATTTCAGGTAAAACCCTGTCTCCCACCATTGCTTTCTTTCCTGACTGTTCACCAGTCCACCTTCATTCTCCCAATAAAAATGTATTACAACTTTTAAAACATTGGTTTTGGGGCCAGAGTTGTGGCACATTGGGTTGTTAAGTTGTCACCTGAGACACCAGCATCTCACATCAGTGCCCGCTGGAGTCCAGGCAGAGAGGCAGAGGCAGAGAGAGAGGTCTTCCATCTGCTAGTTCACTCCCCAGATGGCTACAATGGCCAAAGGCTGCACCCATCCGAAGCCAGGAGCTTCTTCCAGGTCTACCACATGGGTGCAGGGGCCCAAGGAATTGGGCCAGCTTCCACTGCTTTCCCAGTACATAGCAGAGCTGGATCGGAAATGGAACAGCTGGGACTTGAACCGGTGCCCCCACTATGCCACAGCACTGGCCCTTCTGCACATGTTTTACTTCCCTCACTGATTTTGGCATATTTTTCATTGTCTAAGTTTTGGTGATAATTTTCCTTTATTTGCTTTCCAGAAAACTTAAAATATTCCCAAAGAGCACAACTGAACAGCTTTTACAAGAGCAAAAACACATCAGGGAAATTAGGATCTTCCATTCTCCATTATTCAACTCTCTCAATGTAACCTTAGGCCAAACTTACTTATTACAGATCATCTTAGTTTATTACGAGACCCTCAGCTCCAAGAACCTGAAAGTGAACAGAAGCAGCAACCTTCATTGACATTTAGAGCTGTTAAAATCCATCTCTCCACGGCCAGCGCCGCGGCTCATTAGGCTAATCCTCCGCCTTGCGGCGCCGGCACACCGGGTTCTAGTCCCGGTTGAGGCGCCGGATTCTGTCCCGATTGCCCCTCTTCCAGGCCAGCTCTCTGCTGTGGCCAGGGAGTGCAGTGGAGGATGGTCCAAGTGCTTGGGCCCTGCACCCCATGGGAGACCAGGATGAGTACCTGGCTCCTGCCATCGGATCAGCGCGGTGCTCCGGGCGCAGCGCGCCGGCCGTGGCGGCCATTGGAGGGTGAACCAACCGCAAAGGAAGACCTTTCTCTCTGTCTCTCTCACTGTCCACTCTGCCTGTCCAAAAAAAAAAAAAAAAAAAAAATCCATCTCTCCAATGGTATTAAAACAACACAAGTCACCTGTTCCTAAGGGATCATTTTATACTGTATCACAAAGTAAATTCTAAAATAAAGCAGATCATGCCTTAGTTTCTTGATCTAAGTCACAACTTGAGAGAAAAAAGCATGGTGTATACGTTAGGAGGAATATAAATCAAGAAGTTAGTGAGGCCGGCCCTGTGGCACAGCGGGTTAAAGCCCTGGCCTGAAGTGCCGGCATCCTATATGAGCGCTGGTTTAAAACCCAGCTGCTCCACTTCCAATCCAGCTCTCTGCTATGGCCTGGGAAAGCAGAAGAAGATGGCCCAAGTCCTTGGGCTCCTGCACCCGTGTGGGAGAAACAGTAGAAGCTCCTGGCTCCTGGCTTTGGATCAGTACAACTCCAGCCGTGTGGCCAACTGGGGAGTGAACCATCAGATGGAAGACCTCTCTCTTTCTGGCACTCCTCTCTCTGTGTAACTCTTTCAAATAAATAAATAAAATCTTTAAAAAAAAAAAAAAAAAAAAAAGGAAGCAGTTAGTACTGGCATTCTCAACTGCCTGGCCAGAGCTGTCAGTGTGGCACAGCAGGTTAAGCCCCACCTCAGAACATGCCTAGGATCAAATCCTGCCTCTGCCTCCAATCCAGCTTCCAGCTAAAGTGCACCTTGGGAGGCAGCAGTCAATAACTCAAATACCTGGGTCCCTGCCACCCATTTGGGAGACCTAAATGGAGTTCCTGGCTCCTGGTCTTAGCCTGGCCCAGCCCTGGCTGTTACAGCAGATGGAAGATCTCTGTGTCTTCCTGTCACTCTACCCTTCAAATAAATACATCTTTTAAAATGTTAGAAAACATGAGAATATATACTAAAGAATGGCTTCCAGAATATGCTTTTTATTTTTTAAGATTTACTTATTTGAAAGTTGGAGTTACAAGAAAGAGGGAGAGACAGACAGATCTTCCATTTACTGGTTCACACTTCAGATGGCTACAATGACCAGGGCTGGGCCAAGCCG